AAAACTTCAATATACATTAATATTTTTAAATTATTTCATAAAATTAGATTTTAGCCTTTACATTACATAATAAAAATTCTAATCAAATACAATGTTAGATTATAGTAATAATCATCATATTCATATTTATTTTCAAAATAACATTTACATATAAATATTCACATATAGCTTACACTACCGACAATTCCTTAATTTATATAACAAATTACAAATTGCACGTGAAACATTGAGCCATGAAAACATATTTGAGATTTGATAATTGATTTCATACCAGTAGATTTTTTGTAAAAATATTGATGTATGATATATATTTTTAAACTGTAATATGATAAATGTTTTATTTTATCAAATATTAAATACAGTACGTGACAATATAACATAATAAAATACAAATGTATTACCTTTTAACCTTAAAGTACGAACGTGACGAAGCGTTGAAGCAATGTAAAACGATCTTTTTCTAAGTCATCATTAGTTGCACATTTGAGTAAAAAAGCAACGACTTTGGCATATATCAAATAACTAGTAGTCACGATGTGCACCGAAGAAAGTTAATGCCTTTACTTAATTTAATTAATTAAACTGTCAACTGGACAGTAACGCGTGTGTTACATTCATGTGTACGAGTCATACCACTTCCTATATATGTTAAATACTAATACGCGCCAGCTTACGTATGCAAAAGTGACTAATCACTAGCCCCATTTGATAGTATAGATACGCATTTTTTTATTCACTTAATAGCACTTAAAATAAATTCCCCTATGTGGTCGTAACCTTATCATATTGAATACATAGTACATAGGCACGCTATACAATGATATAATATCATGCCGAATTGATATCAAAGCTAGTAGAACTGACCAATCAGCTCCTTACCGTTTTAAACAAGTGTGAAAATACTTATAAACTTCAATAAAACTATACACTAAACACTCAAATACTGTTTAAAATATTCCATATCCATCTTAGTAGCACATTTTCAAGCTACTAATAAGATAAAAATATACATATACACATACATTGCATATATGCAGATGTGTGGTGTGTAGCCGCTATGCACCTTGGATATATGGCGCTGCAATCTTTTCCAGTGTTACCAGTAGAAATAGGAGCGGAATTTAAATTAAACATCCATTGCTTTCATTTCTACGATACAATTTGTCGACTTGCAACGTGTTTACGACGGGATGTACCACCAGTGTTTCACAGCTAATATGAAACACCATATATAGAAAAAGCGCCGGCAAAAACGTGTTAAATTTCCTGCGTTTTCATCACACAAGTTAAACATTTTGATGTTCGAGTTATATGCTTATCGTTAGTATTTATTATTAGTCTTAAAAAGCTGAAACTTTTGTCAACATTTTTAATATTTAGATCTTTAAATAGAATAACCTTGAAGGACAACTACAGATCGATGTTGTCTTCTTATAAGACCTATAATACAGGTATTTCCATCATTTTTTACAAACTATTGTACTAAATAAAAGAAGAGGAATATTTCGTGTAGAAAGAATTGAAAACGCAATTAAAAAGTTTTAAATTAAATAATTTAAAGCGCAACAATACTTTAAATGTAATAACATTAGAAACTATATTTAAAAAGATTATACGAATTTGTAAAATTTGGATACAAATAATTATTGGTAATTATTTCGAAAAAGGGCCTCCTTATGAATTTCAATGACCGTGAAGTGTGTTGTCAGAAACGTCATACTGAACAACTTTTCCCTATAAATGTAACTGCCGCTCAACCTTAGTTTCCGAGATATTTATAAAAATATATTTCACATTTCTTAAAGAGTAAACTAAACTTCATTGATTTCAATCGCCATTAGCGATTCGTCACTGACTTAGACAACCTTGAAGTATATTGTTTAATGGGAGCTTAATTCTGAACGGCTGCTATCAATACATGTTAGAGCCGCTCGACCTTAGTTTTAAAGATTTGCATAAAAATATATTCGACATACTGTATTTAGTACGTCGCATTCGAGTTAAATTGCAGCTGGTTGACTTAACTTTATTTACAGGAATTGTTTCATATAATATGTAGAAATGAATGTTGCTTAGAAAATATAGATTGGTATCAATTGGGCTAATTTTTTCGATATGGAGCTGCAACCTACATTATCACTTTATAATTATTAATAATGTTATTAGAATCGAATGATTTTTCCAATTATGAAGCAATAATGCGGTCGGAGGCACACTAACATCTATTTCTAGTATTTAAATGAAACTTGTGTGTACATATAGTAAGAAACAACATCAATAAACAAATGCGAAAGTGAACAATTGGAGCATGATGTGAAATTTTAATGCATCATAACTTTCGAAGCAATAGTTATTGTCAAAAAATGTAAAATGCTAGACACACAGAACAATGATATTAACAATACATATTAATGAGAAATTGCCTTTTTCTGAATAATTATGGTAACTGCTTTTTCCCGAACATGTTTTCGTGTATATGTCGAAAACTAAGGCCGATTGGCGGTAACATGTACAGGAAAAAGTTATTCACAATTACGACCCCGATAACATATTCCTAATTTCTTTTATAAATAATTATTATACTAGCGATTAAAATTGATGAAAAAATTAAAGTAAAACAGAATTATGCTACTGCTTGGAATGTCAAAAACATTCATAATAGAAGCGGACATTTGTGATTTTGATTTCAGGATTTCCTAAAAGAAACTACTCATATCATTTTGTTTATTTATATCTTACTATTACATATCTAAGTGGCTAGAGTAGCAACAAAAGAAGAAAATGGTAGTAGTAGTTTTTAACTGTAAATAACAGCTATAGAAAACAAAAAAGGATCTAAAGTATATAATTTAAAACTATAATTACTTATTGAAAACAGTATACCATCCTTGTGCAATTTTTACTTCATAGATTATGTTTCCTATACTTTCGTAACATATAACAATTAATAGTATGTCATTGTTCATTATACTTATCTTCACTATCTTCCTGCTTTATGTTACAAAGTTCTGCAACTATATTTGGACTATAGTTTATAAAATATATGTAGAGTATGAAGTGCAGAGTATGGAGTACAGAGTACGAATTATGGAATACAGAATGCAGAATATGGAATATAGTGAAATTTTCGTCCCTGAAAAATTACCGTAAGGTAGCTTTTGAAATTGACGAAATATATTTTTTAAAAATATCAAAATTGTTACTTGAATACATTGAATTGTTAGCTAATATAAATCAACTATAAATATATATGATTTTATCAACAACAATCACAAATAAATGTGTCATCTTTTTTTGCGCAAAGGTAAACAAAAAATGCTTCAAAATCGAAAAATAACACTGTGGAACAAACTTTAACGTATTTTGCTTTTTACAATAACCACTATGTGATTCTTATAGAGTTCCTTACCCTAAATACGAATCCGAAAATCAAATTGCTGGGTCACGTCCACTTTTCGAAAAAACTGGGTTTTTGTAAAAACGGTCGAATTTTTCAGAAATGTTTATGAAAAAATAAATATTGTTTTAAAATTGATTTGAATATAAAAAGGAATTTAAATGGAAATCTCGATAAGCAAATAAAGTTGCTTCATCAAAGATTTTTCTCTGTACAGTGCGTTAAGGGAAAATACAGTTCCTTTGTAATTACAATGCTATTGCCTCAATTGGTGTAAGAGTTCAGCATCCCCGAAAACAGTATTTTGTGAAAATTAATATGTATATTACCGTAGATCCATTTTTATTTTCCGATATATGATATCGTGCAACATGGTATACCGCATAATGTGTTGTGCATTATTAATGGTAACAAATGAAATTATTCTTTGATTTTACATTATCAAATGAGATACAAAGGGAGGAGAATGATTGACATTATTCGTAGACAAAAGTGGGGTCTCAAAGGATTGTGTAAAGAAAAAGAATTTTTATTTCTATCTATAGACGATACACTTTATATTCTACCTTTTTGTGTACGCAGGTTTATATACAAATGTACATTTCATAAAGGTTTTTAACAATTTGCGCAACGTGTTAAAAATTATACTACAGATTATGTATCATTATTATTATTGTGGATTCGGCTTACGCTACACCTCAGCTCGCGGCTCGGCCAGTAACAAAGTCGTGCCGAAACTAATTCCGCCATTACTATCAGGCCGAGCGCAGCGAGTGCACGTCTCCCCTTGCCCCTCTGCACTTTTAGGCCGTCGACCGGCTGGGATCATGTCGGTAATGCACTGTATACATTCGTGCCTTCATTTACGCGGAGTATCTGTTCCATGGATTCATTTTATGCGAATGAAAATCGCATAAATAGAAGCTGTCAGTACAAAAGAAAACAAAGTATAGGAAAGAAAAGCTGGTATAAATTTCAAAAACACATATTTATTTCACATAGCTGAACCTAAAAATAATGCTATTGACATTTTGGAAAACGAAAGTAAATATTCGGTGTCAATATAGCGTAAACAGTACGTAATAGTAAATATAATTTACTGCGTAAAAAAGAGATTTGCGTAAAAAAAGTACCGTGTGAATGAAGGTATGGTTGTATTTCAGGAAAAAAAGGTTTTATTAAGTATTCAATTTTTTGTTGACATTCAATTATGTTTATCAGTCAATTGTGTGTCGACAGAGAAAAAGGAGGCTTGACAAAGAAAGCATATAATACTACATATTCGCCTCTAAAATGGGAACATTATGCGCGCCCAGTCCTCAGCATTTGGGGCCATTTTGTCTCAAAAACGCGGTTGTGACACTGTTTTTAGAAGTAAAATGATTTGTATTCATAACAATGTGTCTATCATTTTTCCATGAACGTATTTTTTTTATTATTTAATTTATCTTAACTTTTGGCTTCATTTTTGTGGTCGGTGACTGTAGTTACCAGTCGTGTATAGGTGACATCTTGTGGCCGGCAACTATAGTCACCCGTCGTATGCAGGTATGGTTTTGTGACGGGTGACTATCGAAAGGGTTAAAAGCGCATAAGGGCAAGGGGAGACGTCCCACAGTGCGACCAAACGCCCGTTTTCTGGATGAAACTTAATAATTTAAAAAGTATGAGTGATACAAAAAAAATTTTTCAGGCAAAAGTTGTAAGGTATAGAGTTAAACATATGCTACTAATATTTTTTCTGAAAAAATCTTACAGATTCCAACGTTATATAAATAGAGAAACTCTGTCAATAGGCGGCCGCAATGTGCGTCCACTCGCGGCGCTCGGCCTATCTTTGTTAGTGACTGAGCCGCAGGACGAAGAAATCAGACGGCCAATAACAAAATATATCCAAAACTGAGACACCATACTACCGGACCGAGTACCGTAAGTGGACCTCTTCCTTTACTCCTGTGCACTTTTAAACCACAGGCCGACGATAATAACATGAGAGGCGAATAGTATATATTTGTCTCAAATATATTATGTTATATGTACATATAAACACATTCTCACGAATATATATGTACTCTAATGTGTTTGGTTTTCGTATAATAAATCATTCAAACTAAAATTTTGACATGTTTATTTTTCAGGTAGATTTTGTATAAAATTTGTATTTCTGTTTTATAATATTTTTACTTGAAAAAGAAAAATTGTTTATCTTGTTTCGTTTCCTTTTGGAAATATATGTCATTTTCCTGGCTTATATTATTACAGAAACCAACATTTTTTAAAATGTAATTTATAACTTATGTCAAAGGTGTCTAAATCAATGCCGCGGCACTCTAGTAACATTCCCCTTACAAAAAGTTACTCTCTCCATACTTACTTTTACTTGGATTAACAGCCATAGAACTGCTCATATACACAGTGTTGCGTATACTATCGCGGTTAGGGCGTTATAGGGAAAATTTAGCGTGGATAAAGTGCCCGTGGAGCACTAAGGTACTCTGTAGTAACTTCAAATTTTGTTAAGGATTCTCAGGTGGTGAGCGTATCTGTGTATTGTATGATGATAGCTATTTAAGTTCTTGTATTAGATGTGATTTTGTAAGGTAAAAAGATAATTGTCATTGAAGCAAATACCGTTAACATGAATTCTAAACGAAGTTTTTGTTCGTGATTATAATTTGTACGTAAAACATGACGTAATGTTCTGCACAAATAAATACTTCGTGTATTTGTGAAAATTTACTCATTTTACATTGACTTCAACTGAATGACAGAAGGAAAGGTTTTATAGTTTGAATATAGAAAGAGTGGTGTGACGTACAATTCGAGTAAATATAAAATGAAAATATGGCTAATAGATTAATTCCATTTGTATACTGGGCACAAACAGAAAGTCAAATTACATTAAAGGTAGATTTGACTAATGTTAAGGTATGTAACTTAAGTGATATGTATATGTTATCTTTTATAAATTTTTATACATGTTAAATATGTGTTATAGGATTTAAATTTTGACATAGATGAGAAGAGATTGAGTGTTAATGCTTATGGACAAGGTGCCAAAGGTTTTAATAATTATGGATTCAGCCTTGATTTAAATTCATTCATCAACACTGAGGTAATATTTGTATAATGTCTTATCTGTATATATAGTATCATTGGTATTTAATTAAATTTTAATAAAAGTAGGAATACATCTATTGCAATAGAAAGATTAAAATTGATTGTCTTAAATATCTCTTAATTATTTGAATTCTTTTTATTTCTTATATGACTATATTTTATTATATTAGATCATACACATAATTCTTTGAAATTATATTTTATTAGAAATAATTTTAGTAAAGTATGTATGAAAATGATAAACCTTGAAGATAAACAATTTC